CTGCTATTTTACTATTTTTTGATCGGGTTTGATTTGTACGGAGAATATCTTCTAGTCTAACGAGAATTTTTATACTCCTGCAATATGTTGCTACAGAGTGTAATAGTTTTGTTCACCTAACGGTTCTTTGTATCACCTAAAACTAATCGAGATAGGTATTAAGTTATGTATATATAAATGATCAGGATGACGAGACGAGTTGAAATCCGGATGTCTGTCTATCCGTCCGTGTGTCCGACAAGCTGTTACTTGAGTAAACATTGATATCCTTGTGAAAACTTGGTACACGTGTTCATGCAAAAGAGTGAGAACGATTTCGTATATAGGCGTAGTCGGACCATGGCCACGCCCACAAAGCGGTATTAAACTAAAATCTATAAAGTGGCATAACTTAGTCTTAAATAAGATATGAAAGTTTAATTGTGCACAGGAGATCGCAGTATTAAAAGACATCTGTGGGCTAAAAACTTTGTAAAAATGGGCGTGGCGTTTAATGTACATATCTACTAAAGCACTTAAGAAACAATTACCAAATTCCCTGAGGACAAATCCCTTAAGCATGACTATCGACATAAAAATGGATAACATCGGATGACAAACCCGCCAACTCCCATACCACGGTTCTGTTGAAAACTACTAGAAGCGTGATAAAGCAATAAATAAATGCGCCCGATACATTAATTTTTAAAGCCGGGATGGAACGGGATGGCTCTATTTAAGCTGATCTTAAAATAGGACGATGAAAAAAAAACGATAAAAATCCATATCTCGGGACCTATTTGACCAAATTCAATCAATTCGGCACAAAACATAATTATGACATTTTTTATCACAGTGCAAAAAAGGGCGAAATTGGAGTACCCGCCTATTTTCCATATAACAAAATTCTAAATTCCATCTGATTCTTTCATTATGCAAATTACGTACCAATGAATGAATTAGGATAAAACTTTGCCTAAATAATGCGCTTAACGTACGCCACCTTATGAAATGGTCAAAATCAGACAACAATTCTTCAAGCCTTCAGATACCGAATATGTGGACCCCAGTTCCTACAGCGAACATTTTATCGAAAATATCAGTGAATCTGTGAGATTGAAATTTCGAGCAAATCCTATTTTTAAAACGGCATGCTAAAAATGGGTTGAATCGGATGAAGGCTTCTCTTAGCCGCCATGTACATACCTATAATAAATATTTTTGTACTTCCAAATAAAATTAAATGTGTACATGACCTTCAATATGAACAACAGCTTTGAATAAGTATTTCGTCGGCTTTGATCCTTGCCAGTTGCGAAAGTATAAAATGTTCGGTTACACCCAATCGTAGCCCTTCCTTATTTGTTTATTTTTAGGTTTCATCCACGGTGAAGGCCGAAATCACTGGTGGACCTTTTTTAGCGCAGTCGAAGATCTCATATAACTCAAAAAAGTATAACTTTGTTATTTTTGCAAAGCTGTGTAATCTTCAGTACTGAGAATCCTTAACTTCTGTATATCAACGATGTACAGAAAATATTGCAATATTTAGTATGATGAATTGCCTTTTAGGAAAGTCTTTCAGAAACAATCAAAAAGTATACCATAAAATGGTGTTTGGAGATCAGCAAAAAATATTATACAGATTTAAATATATGTTTTGGCACAGAGTTGCCATCAGAAAAGTTAAACTGAATACTATTTTATAAATATGAAATTTTAGCTAGATGACTACACAAACACCAAGTTCAATATAGCAGTTTGCTTGAAAATTAAAATAAGAGCGAATCATCTTAAAATTTTTCGGTATAAGTAACCCCAAAAAGCATCCACAGGAGTCATATTTTTGTTTGTAGTTTCAAATTTGCATCGTTTCAATACAAAATACTTAATCCCGTTCTTTTTACTTAAGGAAGTTATAAAAGCAATCAATTTTTTCAAATCGTAATAGTAAGGTTACAGGTATTTCGCAAGCAAGCCTCCATATGACTAAGCTGTTTGTACCTAATTAAAGTTGTATATGAAATTATATACCCCACATATACCAAATCTAACCGAGAAAGCTTAACCATATAGTATATGTAGGTATATCTGAATATCAAATCAATTACTACTTTTATGAAGAAATTTTGCCTAAAAAGCTTTACTTGGGATTTATTTGGGTCTTCTGCACTCATAGTAAGCCAACTAAATAATCCTCAATCAATTTTCTGCTTTAATATATTTTCAGTTAGTCATTGCTTTTTTAATAAAAAATTGCTTGCAAATAAAAAGTCTCGGTAATCCTTCATTATTTTATTCTGTGGAGTGTTTTATTACCAATATTGCATGTCATCTTCGTGCAGTCACTGCTCCGTTATTCTACGTGCTTACCAACTCAAAATAAATTCCCTCCATATTAACCAACATAACTACCCTTCAATTTGGTAGACATAAATGCTTTAAATTGTGCTAAAGTAACTACCACTAACACTCGTGTGTGTGCGTGAATAAAGAAAACGGCAAACTTAGACCTGACTCGTTTGATTGAATGATAGAGGCGGTGATTAGGTGAGGGGCGAAACAGCAGTGAAGAAGAAGGAAGAATATAAATTTCTAGGAAGCAAAAATGCCTGCATATTAGTCTCACTCCTTGTGTGTTGGAATATGCATTTGTAACGGAACTTCAGCTGGCAGCATCAAGCATGAATCAAATAAAAGTTCTGACCATGCTTGTGAATAAAGGGCGAGCCGAACAAATAAACACACATAAATGTCGCTCATACGCCCCGGCAGCAGCGACAGCGCTTTAGGAATTTACGAAGATTTGTCTACACATGACATTAAGGGACTTGAGTGGGCTGCATGTTTCATATGGTGGCATTCCATGCCATTCCGAGGCAACAACATATGAAGGAGTGAAAACATCAACTAGCCAGTCATTTACAATAGTTCATTTGCGAGTCATACACGGCAGCATTTGCTCAATGTACTCAGCACTGTATGTTTTTGTCTTTTATCCTGGTGAGGAACGCAACCGCTTGCCATGTTAACTTCTGTTTAACGTGCTGCTGTTGTTGATTTGTTGTATTTTTTGTGACTCTGGTCGCATGTGTGCCACTATAAAGCCTATAAATTATTTACTTGTTTGTGCTTAATGAAATCGACTTTTGGGCGCTTTAATCTGCACCGCTCCACTTCGTGTTGTCCAACTCACCCACAACTGCTCAACTTTCCTTCCAAAAGTATGTAAACTAAATATCTATGCCTGTACATTTTTTTCTGTGTGTGTGTCTATCCTATTTTCTCCGACTACTGCCGCTGCTTTGGTTTGAAGGATAAAGTATTTGCTTGAAAAGGAGTTCAGTGCCAAAAGGAAATGTGCTGTTACGAGGGTGACTTTAATGTTACTTAATCGGACATAAAGTGAGTGGAGAATTTTTCGAATAGACACACCTGTTTGATGACAGCGCAGTCAGGTGTGGAGACTTGAACCTTGAATGTACAATAGTTGACTGCAGAAATTAACTAGAACGAGCACGAGAATAATTACAGTTCACATAAATAATTACTTGATATGGAGTTTTTGCAAAACTTTTAAATTGACACCATTTATTAGATTTCAAGTTACTCACCCTAATATATTTGGAAATACCGCAGAATAACTTTATGTAAAAGGTTTTTTAAAAATGTAAAACGTGAAAAGTTTTTAAAACTTGTCCTGAAAAAGTGAAGCGTATTTTGAAGATGTAAGTGCCTCAGCCAGTTATTATAAATAACTTCATTTAATTTTTATTCAAAGTTTCATTTGGTATATATATTGCCTTCCACTTTTAGAAAATTCATTATAGTATCTTGCAAATTAGATTTACAAGATGGACTGTTAAATGAGATCTACGAGTGGGGAGTATATTATTCCTAAGAGAGGACTCTAATAGAACTGATTCCATATAATCAATTCTAACTTTCAAAGGATACGTCTATAAAGCATCTAGAAATTAAATTAAGAGAAAAACTCACACTCTACATATATCAAGGCAACATGAAAAAAAATCTGAAGTCACACGAGCGCACCATCGTTCAAAAAGAATAACGAACTAATTATTATGAACAGTATTAGGAGCAGTTCAATCGTAATAAGGCTTGGATATAATTCCATTACATTACTCTGGAGTCCAATGGGCAGTCATCTGAGTGCACTGCACGAGCTTATGGGGTATATATTTTGGAAATCACATAGAATAATTTTGATCGACTCTATTGAAAAGGGAAATACCATTAGAGATTATTACTTGAAAGATGAAATCATGGAAAATGGGTTCAGCTTACGAAAAAAAGTCAAGTTTAACAATTTGATGAAAACGATAGCAAAATTACATGAAAATTGTTCAGAAATATTTTCGCATCCTCCGTGTATTACAGATCTGGTTTTCAACCATTTTTTCATTTCCTCGGAGCTTAAAAGGGCGATCGCGATAAATTTCCATAAAGTGACGATGAAGAGCTTATTTCGGAGTATAGACCAAACACGAGAGTCAAAAATGTTGCCGATAAGTAGGAAAGTCACTATAATAAGTGTACCACTATCGACGGAAACGTGGTTGAATACTGAATCGATTTAAAAATAGATAGTTTTTCTTAAATCGATATAAACCTTTTAAGCCGCCATTTATTTGTTTCCGCAAAAAACTCATTATTTCAATGTTACTGTAATTTTAAAGAATCCTTAAAACCGTCAATCTCAAATCTTAATTTTTGCCCTTGATTGTATAACGGTATACCTTAAAGCTAATTTAAAAAATTAAATTAATTGGTATCGCTCTTGTTCAACTATAAGATTATTTGAGTCATATATAAAAAACTATTTTGTAGAACTTAACAATTCTGTTGTGTTCGCTTTCTGTTTTTAAGTAATATTTTGTTATTGTGGTTTATATCCACTAAGATTTATTATTTCTTAAATGTCCAAATTTTCATTGGTTAACTTTGACCAACACTCATAATACTTTCAGTCAGTTTTTGTTCTTTTTTATTGCTTTTACCCGCTTTCATTGAGTTTATAATTTTCTTCATGAATTTTGTTCAAACATTCTACGTTTTCATCCACCACTTTGTTTGCTATTCACAAGTTCGTTTTATTATTATTTGCACACTTGTTGTTGTTGCGTTGGTGTTTGCATATTGAATAAAATTGTCTGGAGGTCATCACAAGCTTGCTGCCTTCATTAGCTGAAATGCGAGTCCGAAAATCGAATATCTTTTTTCTCGTGAATTGTCACATTCTCTTCCCTTTTTCTTGTGGTGCTGCATTTGTTTCCACAGTTACCTTCGAGAGCGTATTTTTTACTTTGCAGGATCTGAGCTGCTTTAATTTCGGTGTCAGTGTGAATTGGACTTTTTGGGCGTCACGTCTTTTTTCTTTATTTGCTGCTTAGTTCTGAGTTTCCGCTTCATTCAAGCTCGTTCAATGGCAAATGCAGTCAACTAAAAAGAGAAGGAAGAGAAGAGAAGTGTGAATATTACCTAAAACTCCGTCATAAAAAAGTTCGGTATACCGATTATCATTCAAGTATGTATATATAATATGCCTAGCTAGCAAAACTTATTAAACTTTTTTTTAAAATTTCTCGTAATTTAGTATTTTTGGTCATATACTGTGTCTGATTGCGCTACAAATTTCAACTGAACGCATTGTACTCTAAACTTATCGCACACATACATACAAATAAAAGCTAAAGTATATATTTGAAACATACATGCTCCTAGTTTATCTTATTTGTTTTATATCCATGATCTTACGTTTCATTTCCCTCACTACTCCTGTTGCCTTCTTTTTTTGCTGCCGAATTTTGTTGGCGAAAATGTTCACCAATTTCTTGTTCATTTAATTTGGCTATTTCCATCTGTTGCCATTTCTCGACAATGTATTTATTTTCGCACGCTTTTTCAAGCAGAAAATTGCTTTTATATTCATGTGAGGCTGGCCAGTCCATTGGACCGTCACACTCTACTTGACCCAATACATATGTACAAGCGCATAGGTATGTACAAATATATATACCTAAGTATTATATGGCTTTGTTAATAAAAGTCTACCGTATCTTAATGTGTATATTATATGCATAAGCCTGCAAAATTATGCATAAACATATTTAAGTCGATTTGTTTCATGAGGTAGCCATATAATGGGTTTTCTCGTTTTATTACTTGGCAGTTTTTGGTTTGTATGCAATATAAATATGGCTGACTGGATTGGCAGAAGCACATAAAGCTATTGAAATACCAAAAAACAAATCGTAAAAGTTTCTTAACATGTGGCGCTTTAGATATTTTTAATTTTACGTAGTAATTCGACCTCAATTAATAGCAAGGTGTATTCAAATTTTCATTATAAGCTAAACAAAAGTCTGATACATCAAGATAAGTATATGTTATTACCTTGTAATACTGACGGTTTAACAGACTAATGACGAAGAGTTTATTAGCTTGATGCTATAGTGAGAGTAAAATAAGAATATTGACAAAAACCCTGACGCCTGAATGTATACTCCTCAGAGCTTATGCAGTAACAGTGACAAGGCAGTGACATATTCTCCTATTGCTTTATATGTCTATATATACTCAATATCAAATTTTAATCGATGAAAAATTTTCGGTTGAATTGATGTACGAATACAAGTGTTTGAGTAGCATTAGTCATTCAGTGAAGGTGGTGAAGTTAATAAAATACTTTCCTCATGTGAGTCTTCCATTCATCTCAGTTAATAATGATAACATCGAAAAAATTAAAGAAGTATAGCGCGAAAATCGTCGTGTTGGAATCAGTGAGATTGAAAAGGATGTCAACATCTCTTATGTGCCAACACATGTTGGTTAATGTTAACGCAATGAGGCGTGGTAATGCTAGACTCGTACCAAAAGACCTGAATGCGCCGCTACATATTAGCATGATTGTGACTAACTTTTTGGCCAAACTCGAAGAGAGAGTCAGGGCTAAGCTATCGCATTGGTCAGATTTGCCTCTTTGTAACTTTTTTCTGTTTTGGTAATTGAAAAATCTGCTTCGGGGAACGCCCCAGGAGCCCACTGACACAATGTATAAAAATCGCCCAACAAAATTTTTTCCATCGTAAGCACAACAGCTCACAAACACATACTAAATCACATAAAGGCACCCAACTTCACACGAACATAAAAAAACGTTGTACCAATCTAGAAAAACGAAATTTCAGTCGACGAATTTCGAACATTTTATATTATTCCATTGTTTAGAACACAATCAAATAATAGAATGAAGATAGATTCAAATAAACTAATCAGAAATTTGTATTTTAAGCCAAGTTTGAAAGTTCAACAGAAGGCGCCTCTTTTAAATCTAAATTGAACTGATGGCTGATACTTGAAACACCAGCATAAAATTATTTTGAGTTAGTGTGAATGGTGTAGAGGCCAAACGGCAAAGGTTTCGGCAAATAAACTATGAAATACGGTAGGGATCATTACAGAGCATTAACCCCTGGGATATCGCATTCAGAAATTTGGCAATATGAAATCAGCAAAATATAGAGCGTATGCCGAAGATGAAAAAAAGTCAAAACACTACATTTAATAATCAAAAAAAAAATAATAATAAATATAATTATAATAATTATATATATATATAGCCTTTATCCGTAAATAATATTTTCACTGTATTAAATAGTTTTTATACCAGTATTTAATGTAAAACATAGCCGCAGCAACACGTGGCAGGATATACTAGTGCATTTATTTGTATATCTACACTTTGTTGCTCTATGAAGTAAATATACCTACAGAGATACCCATAGCATACATCTCTATTTCAGTCTTGAGGAAAGTATTTACATATAGCTTATATGTAAGATTATATAGTGCCACCTCCATATCAATATGTTTTGCATTTTGATGAATGACTTCAATTATCTTTCGATACACAACATTTGTTTTTTTCACTGCAGCACACGCCCACAATTGTTTGGATTTATTTCGCAAAGTGTCAAATATATTCATAAATGAAGTGTCAGAAATTAACGGAATTATGCAAACAAAACCAAGTAAGCAGGGTAGGGTTGCTCCAAAATGAGCAAAGGCGACTGTGGCAATACCAACAACGAATTCCCAAACAATAGACGTAGGAAAGACAATGGCAGTAACAAATGTGCGTAATGACACAACCAAACAGAGCAACGCAGGCGAAACGTGGCAACGCTGGTATGCTGGGACGTGAGCGCACGTGCGAGGGTTTTGGGGTAGGAGAAATTGATGTACTGGCGGAGCAAATTGGAAACAGCTCGATTGGGCGTTGTGTGGTGGCAAGCATTGTGGCGCTTGTAAGGTTTGTAGCGACTGTCAACTGCAGGCGTGAGCTAAAGTGGGCGGCTTGATTGCTATTTTTGGCGGTGTTGTGGAAAGAGTTGCAGAGTTGCCAAGCGCTTGCGACGAAAAGCAAATGTTTATGGTTTAAAGCACTTTTTATGGTTTAAAGCACCTTTTACGTGCTGATATCCAATAGCATGCATATACACACACATGCATACTTACACGCGCATATACCCATCCATCCATAGAAGTATAGCAAAATAGCTTGGCTACCGGGAAAATACGTTGCAGCATGCCTGATTGAGTCAGGACTTGCTGAAGTGTTGTAGAATTAAACTGCAACAACAAAAAGAATAATCAACTCTCGCTTATGCTCTGGCAGCGATAAACGCTTATGCGTGGCTAAAATTCCAAAACAGAAATTAAATAAATTTAAGAAACGAGTATATATAAATACATATGCATAGACAGGTACCTGCGCATGTATATATGTAAGTGTGTATTAATATATGCAAACTGATATGATATGCTTTTTAAAAAGTCATGTGTGTGGTGGGGGTAGTGTTTATCGCTGTTGTTTGATTTAATTTATTGGCTTAGCGGCATTGTGGCTGCAGCGCAATTTACACTTCGACCTCAGCCTTAACGAATGAGGAAAATTTTAAATCCCTTAATTTTTTAGCATGCATGCATGCAAAGTGGAGAGTTGCCTTAAAAGCATTGGGAGCTGCGACTAGCAAAACAGTAAACAAAATACACAGTAGAGAGTTTTTAGTAGAACGCAACTTTTTTCAGAGCCTTGTAACCCCGATTGGGGTGAGCGTTGGATTATAAAATAAACAAAACAAGTAAGAAAGGGCCAAGTTCAGGTGTAACCGAATACTTGATACTCTTGCAACTTGCAAGGATCAAAGCCGGCTAAATACCTTCAGGGGTTGGCAAAACTTTATATTTAAATATAATATATAATGAAAGGGTTCAACTTCATTGTTCGACGAAATCGTGAATGGATTACAACCAAATTTGGTATCATATTAACTTAATTGGAATGTCATAGACTCACATAGTTTTATTACTATATTTTACATCCCGTGAGCGAAAATTATACTTAAATCATCCTCGAATGAGATATATGTGATATAAGCACAACCGAAGAGGCTAAATTTATTATATTAAGATGATATAAAACACATCATCTAATTATGAATATTGGCCAAGCCATTAATATAGTTTCACATATATTAATATAATATCAAACATTTTGATCTACCTAAATGGTATGAAGTCTGGTGGAAAGTTGGAAATAATTTTATTGGATATTTTAGGGGCAGAGAAAAGGAAAGCCTTAATTTTTGACATAGTTCAGGTATGCTTGAGAACTTATTTTCAAGAAATTTAATAAATATGTAAACGTAAACATAGGTATATATGGAGTAAAGTCAGCCGGACGTTTCAAAATCCTGAATATAAGTTATAAAGTGACTAAGACAAAATTTCTCCCGACTTTATCCTTTTTAGATACACTGTTATCAGAAAAATACGCTCTCTCAATTTCATTAAAATAACTGCCACACAAATGTGGTAATTTGCCGACAAATGTGGTATAAAGTCTTCAAAAAGTTTGAAAATCTTGATATTAGGTTATGGAGGCTAAGGGAGTATTGACCCCATTCAACCGATTTTTGGCATTTTTTTAGAGTATATTATTATTATATATATAATATAATTACAGATTGACCGATATTTTCGGCAAAAAGTCAGCCATACGCACTGGAGTCCACATTCGGTATGTGGCGGTTTGAACAGTTATGGTTCTACTTTGAAAATTTGTAGACTCGAAATGGCATACCTCAAAAGCGACATTTGTGCACAGTTTTATCCAGATACACTGATTTGTTTTTGTAATGTGTACTGAAAAGTAAATCATATGGAATTTAAAATTGTACTATGTGGGAAGTAGGCGTGGTTTAAGTCCGCTTGCCCCCATTTTCACAATGTGAGGAAGGGCTGTCAGAATTATGTTAAGCAAGGTATTTGGTTGAACATGGTCAAGTAGGTCCGGAGAAATGTGATTTCACCTCAATGTGGGCGGTGTTGTGCCCATCGTCCAATTTTGACTCCGGCTCCATAAACCCCTCTTGTAT